CAGTTAGAAGCTGAGTGAAACATCTCATTGTTTCTTTTGGATTGATTCCAGAGGGTCTCAGGGGGCACTGCTGCTGTTCACTGCAATTTAAAGAATTGGAGTCACTCTTGTGCCCTTCCTGCCTGTGGCCACAGCCCTGCAGGGTTGGGAATGCCCATCCCAGCTTTGTCCCACCTGGCCTGGAGCTGGGATCTCCCAGGGCTTTGAGGAACACCCAGGGTGTCCTTGGTAAACATTTCCTGCTGCATAAATAACAGGGAAAACCTGGCAGGAAATGATTTCTGAAAGTGGAAATACCCAGCACCTTTTAAACACTTCATGGGTGTTAAGTGGTTGCTCCAGATCCAGCACAAGAGGAATTCTCTGCTGTAAAGACCTGAATTCCAGCTGAAAAGGGGAATTTCCTTGGCAAAGCTCACACTGAATTAAGGATTTAATGCTCACATCCTCTGATGTAGAATTGCTCAGGGATCCCTGAGTCCAGCCATTAGCCCATCTCAGAACTAGGAGCCATGGAAGTTAAAATTCCTGGAATTTCCGTTTGTTCCTGCAGAAGGAGAGGTTCTATGAGGGGCACTTTGTGCTGGCCACGCCGTCCTGCAAGGAGCTGGCAGACCTGATGAAGCAGTGCATGAACTACGACCCCCACCAGAGACCCTTCTTCAGGGCCATCATGAGGGACATCAACAAACTGGAGGAGCAGAGTAAGGCCCTGGGGCCACCTGGAGGGGGGACCATGGAATCTGGGGTGGGATATGGAAGAGCACCTGGTTCCAACCTCGTGGAAGCTGAGGAGCTGCTATGGGGTGGGAAGTTCACCAAGAGAAATCTGGGTGTGGAAACAGATCCAGGCTGGCACGAGTGGATGGAGAATTCCGTCAGAAAGCAGGTGGGATCTCGGGAAGGAAAGGTGTGGGAATAGAGCAAGGATGACTTGGAGTGTCCCAGCATGCAGGAATCTGACCTAGCTTGATTTCACCTCCTAGATCCCGATATTGTCTCGGAGAAGAAACCCGTCACCGAGGTGGATCCCACTCTCTTTGAGAAGAGGTTCTTGAAAAGAATCCGGGATTTGGGTGAGGTAAGAGGAATGTCACCCCCAGAACACAGCCAGTGCTCCTGGGTGTCCCCACAGCCACCCAGATCAGGGTCTGGGTGTCCCCACAGCCCGTGCTGTGTCACACAAACACCCAGATCAGTGCCTGCGTGTCACTGCCTGAGCCTTGTCCTCAAGGATGCTACTTTCTCTCCCACCCAGGGCCACTTTGGCAAGGTGGAGCTGTGCAGGTATGACCCAGAAGGTGACAACACCGGGGAGCAGGTGGCAGTGAAATCCCTGAAGCCGGAGAGCGGAGGGAATCACATCGCTGACCTCAAGAAGGAAATTGAAATCCTGAGGAATCTTTATCACGACAACATTGTCAAATACAAGGGGATTTGCACAGAAGATGGTAAACCTTGCAGAATATTAAAAGTGTATGGGTTTTCCTTTAGAACTGATCAATGTCCTGCCTGGAGCAGGTTTTCCTGTGGATTGGCTCAGGGATGGATGATGGGAATGAGCCATGGGATGTTTAAAATGCTGCTGGTGCTCTGGGCTTGTACAAAAACTGTTGGTGTTCACGAAGTGAAAAGGGTCTGCAAACTAAACATGCTCTGCTTTTTAGGAGGAAGTGGGATTAAACTCATCATGGAATTCCTTCCCTCTGGGAGCCTGAAGGAGTATCTCCCACGGAACAAGAACAAGATTAATCTCAAGCAGCTGCTCAGATACGCAGTTCAGATCTGCAAGGTGAGCTGGGCCCTGAGCCTGCAGCTCCTCTGCTCCATCAGCAGCGTGAGGGGATGGAAAATATCAGCAACAAACCCGTTCTCCTTCTTTATCCCCAAGGATCAGAACCCCAAAGCAATCTCTCCCATGCTTTGGGTGCTACTGGCACAAAGATCAACAGGGGAATAATGAGGAGGGGTCCAAGTTCCAAAGTTTGCTGTGAAAAGTTGTTCCTGTGGGAGGATTTGGAGGATCAGGAGGGAGGGCAGCACTTGGAATGTGCTGGCTCGAGGAAAGGAGCGAGGTGAAGTGTAAAGGGATGGAGATAAGAGTGCAGAGCATGGTCAGGCCATATGAAACAGTAACTGGAGAAAAAGGGATTAAATATTGGAGGAGTAAGAGGAAAGAAAAGGCTTCTCTTCTCCTCCCTTAGGGCATGGACTACCTGGGCTCCTGTCAGTACGTGCACCGTGACCTGGCAGCGAGGAATGTCCTCGTGGAGAGTGAGAACAGGGTGAAGATCGGGGACTTTGGGCTCACCAAGGCCATCGAGACGGATAAGGAATATTACACCGTCAAGGACGACCGCGACAGCCCCGTCTTCTGGTACGGCCCTGAGACCAGGCTGCAGGACAGGGACCCCTCTGCTCCCCTTCTTCCCAAGATTTTTCCTGTTTTTATAAGAGGCCTAATATACACCATAAGAGCAAGGAAAAGGCACCTGGTGGACTGTACTCACCTCTCATGTTGTTTATTTCTTCCTGCACTTAATGATCCATTTCCCCACTAGTTTGGGTTTGGTCTCCTTGGTTTCACTGTGGAACACACTTTATTTCTTTTTAATTTCTATGTAAGGGCTCCACAAGCACAGCTGTGGCTCTTGAGTCGCTCTGGCTGTGTGTGAGCTCTGGGTGTGACGCTGGCCCCTCATGTCCCCAGGTACGCCCCGGAGTGTTTGCTACAGAGCAAGTTCTACATCGCCTCCGACGTCTGGTCCTTCGGGGTGACGCTCTACGAGCTCCTCACCTACTGTGACTCCGAGTCCAGCCCCATGGCAGTAAGTGACTGGGACAGAAATGGCTGCCAGAGCTGCTTCACTCCCATCATTTTAAAAATATTATCCTTGTTTTTGGCAACAAAAAGAGGAAGCAGAGAATCTTGGGGTCGGAGGGAACTTAACGCTCATCTCATTCCACCCCTTCCATGGGGAACACCCTGGTGGGTGTCCTTGCAGTGGGGTGAGGGATTCCCAGCTGATCCCACTGTCCCCACAGGAATTCCTGAAGATGATCGGCCCCACGCAGGGACAGATGACGGTGGCACGGCTCGTGAGGGTTCTGCAGGACGACAAACGGCTGCCACGGCCACCCACCTGCCCCGAGGAGGTGAGGGATGGATGGATGATGGATGGATGGATGGATGGATGATGGATGGATGATGGATGGATGGATGGATGATGGATGGATGATGGATGGATGGATGGATGATGGATGGATGGATGATGGATGGATGGATGGATGGATGATGGATGGATGATG